TGCTGAGAACTGTGCGTGCGAAAAGGCGGCCGCAAAGTTAGCTGCTGGCTTGCTTGCGGAGCGCAGAGAGTGTGGGCTGAGTTCACTACTGACTTACTCCCTGCGCACGCGAAAAGAGGGCAGACAACTAATGCGTGGCTAGCTTTCTTGTTTGGGAGGAAAACAAAACTATCCTATTGCTTTGATAGACGGCCCCAGACAGGGAGAGGTCAGACTGTCAGGCAGTGGGTAGAGATCTCTCGGAGATGTGTGAAGCCAGAAGCCATTACTGCGGGACTCAGAAACCAGACCCTCCTAGGGAGGGGCTGACTAAAGCTTTTCTGCATCACCTGAAACTCTGCCCCATCTTAGTGAAGCGCAGAAGCCTTTCCAGCGGCTAGCTTTCTCATTCGCAGCGAATAGGACTCTCCTAGGGAGTGACAGACAGGAATCCAAAGCTTGTCTGGTCTATATCAAAAGGTGTGACTAATCTTGCAGGATTCACCAAAGCTTGGCTGTGCCACCCCAAGACTCCGCCCTATTCAAGCAGAATACAGAAACCCTCCTAGCTGAGACACTTCTGATCCTCATAGCCAACTGGCTTGGAGATCAACACTTCCCAGTAATACCAACAACAAGCAAGGCTTAACAACAAGACTGCACACACAGCCCACAAAGGGCTACACCAAGACTGTCCACCTCAGGTAACTGGGAGGCTGACTCACTGAACCATTTAGGACACCCTAGCACACAAAGTCACCCTACCAACTCACGGAAGCTGTGAAAATGCCGAAACAAGGAAACAGATCACAAACAAAAAAAATGGAGGACAAGCTAGGACCAGTTTGGCTCAGTGGATAGAGCATCGACTTGCGGACTGAAAGGTCCCAGGTTCGATTCCGGTCAAGGGCATGTACTTTGGTTGCGGGCACATCCCCAGTAGAGGGTGTGCAAGAGGCAGCTGATCAATGATTCTCTCTCATCAATGTTTCTAGCTCTCTGTCCCTCTCTCTTTCCCTCTGTGAAAAATCAATAAAATATATTTTAAAAAAAGAAAAAGAAAAAGAAATAGAGGACAAGAAGCGACTGGATATAGAGTTCAAAACCACGCATATAAGGTTTTTCAAGAATTTCCTTGAGCCGGGACCGGTTTGGCTCAATGGATAGAGCGTCGGCTTGGGGACTGAAAGGTCCCGGGTTCGATTCCGGTCAAGGGCATGTACCTTGGTTGCAGGCATATCCCCGGTAGGGGGTGTGCAAGAGGCAGCTGATCGATGACTCTCTCTCATTGATGTTTCTGACTCCCTATCTCTCTCCCTTCCTCTCTGTATAAAATCAATAAAATATATTTTATAAAAAAAAAAAAAAAAAAGAATTTCCTTGAAAAGGCCTATAAAATAAATGAGACCTATAAGGATATGAAAAGGGATCAACTTTGACAAGAATACATTATCTGAAATTAAAAATATTATACAGAGTCTAAAAACAGAATGGAAGATTGCAAAAATCAAGTAAAAGATTTGGAACACAAAGAGCCAGAGGACACTCCTCCACAGAAGCAAGAAGATAAGAGAATCCAGAAAGTTGAAGATAATGTAAGAAACCTCTAGGACAACTTCAAACGAACCAACATCAGAATTATGGGGGTCCCAGAAGAAGAGAAAGAGCAAGATACCGAAAAAATACTGGAAGAAATAGTGACAGAAAACTTCCCCCACCTGGTGAAAGAAATAGACAAGTCCAGGAAGCGCACAGAACCCCAAACAAAAGGAATCCAAAGAGGACCACACGAAGACACATCATAATTAAAATCCCAAGAGCCAAAGACAAAGAGAGAATATTCAAAGCAGCAAGAGAAATACAGTTGGTTACCTACAAGGGAGCACCTATATGATTGTCAGCTGATTTCTCAACAGAAACCATGCAGGCCAGACGGAATGGCAAGAAATATCCAAGGTGATGAATAGCAAGAACCTACAGCCAAAAATACTCTACTCAGCAAAGCTATCACTCAGAATCAAAGGCCAGATAAAGAGCTTCACAAATAAAATTTTAAAAAGCTAAAGGAGTTCATCACCGCCAAACCAGAATTATATGAATTGCTGAAAGGGGTTCTTTAGGAAGAGGAAGAAGATATAGATAAAAATTATGATCAATAAATATGTAACTATCAACAAATAAAACTGAAAGCCAAGGGAATTAAAAAACCTGATGAACAATATTATTGTAACTGTTGAATATAATAGAATCAGAAGTATGGAAGGGGAGTGGACTGAAGATTCTCAGGGAAAAGGGGAGTAGGGGGTGCGGGAAGAGTCTGAACAAAAACTGTGCACCTATGATGAGGACAGTGGGGGGTGGGGAAAGGGCAGAGGGTGGGGTGGGAACCTGGTGGAGGGGAGCAATGGAGAGGGGAAAATGAGGAATATTTGTAATAATATGAACAATAAAGATTTTTAAAAAAAATAATAATAAAATAAGTAAATAAATAAAAGCAGCAAGAGAAAAACAGTTAGTTACCTATAAGAGAGTACCCATATGACTGTCAGCTGATTTCTCAACAGAAACTATGCAGGCCAGATGGGAGTGGCAAGAAATATTCAAAGTGATGAATATAGCAAGGACCTACAAGCAAGGTAACTCTACCCAGAAAAGCTATCATTTATAATTGAAGGTCAGATGAAGAGCTTCACAGATAAGAAAAAGCTAAAGGAGTTCACCACCACCAAACCAGTATTATCTGAAATGCTGAAAGGTATTCTTTAAGAAGAGAAAGAAGAAAAAGGTAAAGATAAAAATTATGAACAACAAAGTGACAACAAATACATATTTATCAACAAGTGAATCTAAAAATCAAGTGAATAAAAAATCTGGCCAAAACTGGTTTGGTTCAGTGGATAGAGCATCGGTCTGCGGACTGACAGGTCCCAGGTTCAATTCTGGTCAAGTACATGTATATTGGTTAGAGAAGGTGGAGGAGAAAGCAAGCTGGAAAGAGTGAAAGAAAGAAATGGAGGAGGAGGAGAATGGAGCTGAGGAGGAAGAAGAGGAAACTGCTGAGGACGAAGAAGATGAGGAAGAAGATGAGGAAGAAGAAGATGACGATGACAAGGGGCCCCCACTGAAGAGAGCTGCTAAAGAGGGGATGAAGCTGATCCCAAGTGGCAGAAGACAGAAAATGGGGCATCAGCATGAGCCCCCTGCCAATGGGCTGGGGAATGAGGCCCCTCAAAGCCTGGGGATGGGGCAGGAACAGCTCCGTGCAGCCACTTTTCACCTGACTCCTTGCTCTAGGCCTTGCACCAGAGCCACTGCCCACTTTCTCCCCAGCCTTCTCATTCCCACCTCTTCTCATTCCCACCTCTTATTCCCACCTTCCATCCTTATTCTGCCACTGTTCCACCTCCTGAACTGTTCCATCTGAGCTCCCCAGCTGGTCCCCAATTGCCCCCTTTCCCTCTTTTTCTCTTCCTCCCTCACTCCCACCCCTCCTCCAATAGCTTCTCCTTTGGAACCTCTGCATCATACTTTTCTGTCCCGTCCATCCCTACCCTGCCTGATCCCTGGGTCTCCTTCAGATCCCCTTCTCTGAGACAGCGCCAGACGAAGCCCCACAGCTGTCCCCTCTCCTCCCCTTTTTGTATAATTTAATAAAGAAATGGTTGCGCTTCTGTTTTTAAAAAGAAAAAAGAATCCAAAACGTTAAAAATGGTGTAAGAAGCCTCTGGGACAACTTCAAGCAGAACAACATCAGAATTATGGGTATGCCAGGAGAGAGAGAGCAAGATACTGAAAACCTATTTGAAGAAATAGTGACAGAAAACTTATCCCAGCTGGTGAAAGAAATAGACTTACAAGTCCAGGAAGCACACAGAACTCCAATCTAAAGGAATCCAAAGAGGACCACACCAAGCCACATCATATTTAAAATCCCAAGAGCAAAAGACAAAGAGAGAATATTCAAAGCTGCAAGAGAAATGTAGTTGGTTACCTACAAGGGAGCACCCATACGATTGTCAGCTGATTTCTCAACAGAAACTATGCAGGCCAAACAGGAGTGGCAAGCAATATTCAAAGTGATGAATAGTAAGAACCTACAACCAAGATTACTCTACCCAGCAAAGTGATCATTCAGAATTGAAGGTCAGATAAAGAGCTTCAAAGATAAGAAAAAGCTAAAGGAGTTCATCACCACCAAACCAGGAATACATGAAATACTGAAAGGTATTCTTTAAGAGGTAGAAGAAAAAGGTAAAGATAAAAATTATGAACAACAAATACGTAACTATCAACAAGTGAGTCTAAAACCAAGGGAATAAAAAATCTGATGAACAATATTAACTGTTGAATATAATAGAATCAGGAGCATAGAAAGGAAGTGGACTGACAATCCTCAGGGGCAAAGGGGAGTGTGGGGTGTGGGAAGAGACTAAAGAAAAAGTGTACACCTATGGAGGTAAGTATGGGGGGGGTAAGTACGGGGAGGGGGAAGGGTAGGAACCTGGTGGAGGGGAGCAATGGGGGGGGGGACAATAAAGCATATTTTGCCAAAAAAATTAATTATATATATATATATATATATATATATATATATATATATATATATATAATTAATTTTTTATATATATATTCAGGATTGTTTTGATAACTGTATTTATAATAAAAAAGAGGTCAATGAATTTCTGTTGAAAGCTGTTTCTGTGTGTTACATGTAACAGACATGGTAAATATTGGTTTACCATCTTTGTTTGACAATCCATGCATCTAAGTTTAAGTGAAATCAGCCACAAGAAAATTGGTGAGTGTATATGTGATTTTTGAGATTAAAGTTAGTCTTAAAATGTAAATAAAATATGGATCGTGTTCTCAAAAAAAAATAATCACTTTACACATCAAAATAATGGACTTATGCATCAAATAATGACTCTAACAGTTTTCTCTTATAGGATGCTAGCAATTCCTCCCGTACTTTATCATTATGACACTAAAATCTTATAAGAGAAGAGATATTTTGTTAATACCTTATTCCAGCCGCTGGCATGAATTGTGATCTCCAGAGTACATTCCCGATATGACTGATATGTCACTGGCCTGTAGAAATTTTTTTTTAAAGTCTGTGTCACTAAATAGAAAAATTCTAAATTTCCAGGTGAATAAATATACAGTCATTATTCTAATGTATGAACTTTTTGCAAAACTAATACAGATAATTCAACATATTGTTTTGTATTGAGATATGGCCTTTTACATTTTGTATACACTTTTCTTCAAGCATTCTGAAGAGGCTGAGAATCATGTTACCAGTCTGGAAATCAGTTAACATAACAAGTAGTAATAAAAAATAGTAATAAATTTTTATAATTGCATTAAAGTTACCCAACAGTATTTCTATATTGTAGATAAACATAAACATTTGGGCCCTAACTGGTTTGGCTCGGTGGATAGAGCATCAGCCTGTGGACTGAAGGATCCAAGGTTTGATTCCGGTCAAGGGCATGTACCTTGGTTGCCGGCACATCCCCAGTAGGGGGCGTGCAGGAGGCAGCTGATCGATGTTTCTCTCTCATGGATGTTTCTAACTTTCTCTCCCTCTCCATTCCTCTCTGTAAAAAAATCAATAAAATATGTATTTTTAAAAATTTAAAGAGACATGTCACTGGAACATTTTTCAAATTGAGGATACAAGAAGTTGGAATAAACAAGTCCAATAAATCGAGTCTATTTTTAATTTGGTGTCTTATAACATAAAATCCTAGAGGGCAGAGAGAGAAACCTTTCTAATTGTTTCCATGAAAATTCAAATCGCTGAGCAACAACAATGCTCAATTAATAATTTTAATATGTTTTTATTGGTTTTTAGAGAAAGAGGAAGGGAAAGGGATAGAGAGATAGAAACATCAGTGAGAGAGGAACATAATCCATTGGCTGCCTCTTGCACACACCCCTACTGGGGATCAAGCCCGCAACCTGAGTATGTTCCCTGACTGAGAATTGAACCAGCAACCTCTTTTTTCCTGGGTGGAGGCTCAACTGCTAAGCCACACCAGCAGTGTGGGACTCAATAATTTATTGAGTGAATACAAGTACTAATATTTTAAGTCTTGATTTCATGTGCAAATTAACAATAACAACAAAATACTCTATAACCAAGTAACATATGAAGGAATGAACAGCTTGGATAATAAATTTAGTAAAATGTAAGCTCCTGCCAAAACCGGTTTGGCTCAATGGATAGAGCGTCGGCTTGGGGACTGAAAGGTCCCGGGTTCGAATCCGGTCAAGGGCATGTACCTTGGTTGCGGGCATATCCCCAGTAGGGGGCGTGCGAGAAGCAGCTGATTGATGACTCTCTCATCAATGTTTCTAACTCTCTATCTCTCTCCCTTCCTCTCTGTACAAAAAATCAATAAAATATATTTTTTTAAAAATGTAAGGTCCTTTTGTGGGCAAAGTACCAACATACTAGAGACCTGGTGCAAGGATTCGTGCACTTATGAGGTCCCTCAGCCTCGCCTGCAGGGACTGGGCTTTCCAACATCCCCCAAGGGGTCCTAGATTGCGAGAGGGTGTAAATCCATGCACCGAGCCTCTAGTTTGCATATAAGATATTTGATTAATCTCTTCCTGCCCTCCCACTTCCCTCTGAGATTAATCAGTCTGTTTCAGGTTTCCATGCCTGTGGTTTCCACTACTGCATTGAGCGTCTGGCCCCTGGTGGTCAATGCGTGTCATAGATACCGGTTGGACAGTTGGACAGTAACTTTTACATATACATATGTAAAAATGAGAGCAGTCTTATTTTAAAATCCATCTCAAAGGTATTTTCTGCTCTGACTACTCAACTCTGTGATTTCTTCAGCCTGTGAATATAGATGATTGGTAACAGCTACCACTTATTGGCAGCCTACTGTTAGGTTTTATTTTTCACATTTTTCTTTCTTTTTTATTTTATTTACCTTTCACATATTTCATATTATCATTTTATATATTAGGAAACTAAAGCTCAGAAAAGCTAAGACACTATCCCAAATCCACATAGCTGGCAGGAGCAATGTAGGAATTTATATCCAATTAGATATGGCCCTAAAGGCCACACTGATCCTATTTTAACTTAGGATTTTGACACATGCCATGATAAAATCTAGATGCCACATGTAGCTAATAAGCATTTGAAATGTGGCTAGTGATGTGCTGAAAGTGTAAATACACACCAGATTTCAAAGTAAAAAAAATGTAAAGTATTTCATTAATAAGTCATTATATTGAGTATATATTAAAACTATATTTTAATATTTAAGTTAAATAAAATATATTATTAAAAATCATAATTTAATTTTTATATAGCTGCAAAAAATTAATTATATACATGTTAATTTCATTATATCTATTAGAAAGTGCTGGTCTAGATATTTCAGAATAAAGGTTATGATGACATGAGTATCTTTCTTTTATACAAGTCTAAATAAAATCAATACTACAGTGAAGCTGAGATACCAGGGGTGACCATTTTAATAAGATTTTATATAACCAATTTCACCCCAATAAACTTAAAAGGTAGTTATGTACTACCTTCCTGATATATTCCCATCCAGGTAAGCTTAGTATTTTTTTTTTCTTTTTAGAAAACTTATACTAAATGCTCCATGTTTGTAAATCCTAAACTTCAGCAGATACTATACAGTCTACCTACTTATATTCTCCTTGAAGCTTTACTTGCATCTATCAGCCCCTTCACTTCCTTCCCTGAACTGTTTGATGCTACTGTGGGTCATAATAAATCATATTGATAGTTTGTCTATCAAGCTAAAATAGTATCCTTCAGAATGAAATGATTTGAAACATATGTACACACATATATGCATTAACAATCCAGCAGATAAAAACAATCAAAGGATATCTAATAGATAGAAAAGTGTAGCAGAAAAAACAGCCTTACAAAGAAAAAACAGCTACTTACAAATAGAGAAAAAAGAAAAAGGAGAGTGGGTGGTATCTTCATCTTAAAAAACATTGCCCTGCCGAAACCGGTTTGGCTCAGTGGATAGAGCATCGGCCTGCGGACTGAAAGATCCCAAGTTCGATTCCGGTCGAGAACATGTACCTTGGTTGTGGGCACATCCCCAGTAAGGGGTGTGCAGGAGCAGCAGATCAATGTTTCTCTCGCATTGATGTTTCTAACTCTCTATCTCTTTCCCTTCCTCTCTGTAAAAAAAATCAATAAAAAAAAAATATATATATATATATATATATATTTTTTTTTTTTTTTAAATATTGCCATGAACCTTTATAATAATTCTAATTAATGCTCAGCAGTGTGGCTCAGTGGCTGGTCGACCCATGAACCAAGAGATCACTGATTTGATTCCCAGTCAGGACATGGGGGGTGAGCTTGAAACCCAGCGAAGGGTGTACAGGAGGCAGCCAATCAATGATGTTTCTCCCTCACCAAAGTTTCTATCCCTCTATCCCTCTTCCTCTTCTCTCTCTAAAGATGAAAAACATATATATTTTTTAAATGTTTTAAATAATTTTATCTCTACCCAGTCTTGTTCAGTGAACAGAGTATCAGCCCTTGGACTGAATGGTACCAAGTTTAATTCTGGACAAAGACACTACCTTAGTTGCAAACTCCATCCCAGCCCTGCGGAGTGCATGCGGGAAGCATCATCAATGTGTCTCTCTCACATCAATGTTTATCTCTCTGTGACTCTTTTCCTCCCTTCTACCATCTCCAAAAATCAATGGAAAATATCCTCAGGTGAGGATCAAAAACAAAAAATAAATCTAGTTCATCAACAGATACTTATTTTTAAGGTATTAGTAATAGCACTTAACAACTTTCAAAAGTGTATTTCTGATAATCACATGTATTTATTTCTAAATTGGCTAAAATCTACTAGAATATTTCTTCTTGACTGCTAAAACAGGATATATTAATATGTTGAGTTCAATATTTCTTAAAAATTAAAAGACCTCTGCTTACAATTTGCCATTTGAAAATTACATCAGATATCATTTAGATTCTATAAAGGAAACATCTTAACATGTCTTAAAAGCAAAAATATTTATCTTTGCCCTGGCTGGCTTGGCTTAGTGGATAGAGCGTCAGTCTGTGGGCTTTAGGGTCTCAGGTTCAATTCCTGGTCAAGGGCATATGCCTGGGTTACAAGCTTGATCCTCAGTGTGGGGCATGCAGGAAGCAGCAAATCGGTGATCCTCTCTCATCATTGATGTTTCTCTCTCTCTCCCTCGCCCTTCCTCTTTGAAATCAATAAATAAATATATTTTTTTTCTTTTTTTCTTTTTTTAAAGTACTTACCTTTGAGTAGAAGAAAAATGCTGAAAATAAAAGCAATACTAAAGGGAAAAAAAAGATTTCTGAAGAAAAATTTATTCAGGTGCCTAACCACCAGAGATACCAATTTCAAAAATAATTATATCAGTATTCAGTCTAGAGAACAATAAATAAATAATATTCATCAAAAATAAGAATTTTTTAAATATCACTTACTTTGCAGAGAGAAAATGTCTATTTTTCTTATACATTAGAAAAGGACTCCAAAAACAATACTTTTTCAAAAACCTATAAAATATTGTTCTTTAGAGCACTCATATCTGAATTAAAATTAACAGATGGTTAAATTGAGATATAGAGTGAAATGGTTTGCTCAAAGCTATAAATAGTTTGTATCAAAACTGGAAATAGGGCCGAGCTGATTTGGCTCAGTGGTTGAGTGTCGACCTATGAATCAGGAGGTCACAGTTCAATTTCCAATCAGGACACATGCCCAGATTTCAGGTTCAAATCCCAATAGGAAGATGCAGTAGGTAGCCAATCAATGACTCTTATCATTGATGTTTCTATCTCTCTTCCCCACTCCCTTCCTCTTTGAAATCAATAGAAATATATTTTTTAAAAATAAATTGGAAACAGGGCTCTGGCGGGATAACTTAGTTAGTTATCATCATTCCAATACATTAGGCTTCAGGTTAGATATCTGGTCAGGACACATACAAGAAGCAGCCAATAAATGCATAAATAAGTGGAACAAATCAATGCTTCCTTCTCTTTCTCTCCCTCCCTCCCTAAAAATTATTTTTTTAATTGGAAACAGAATTTTTTTTATCTTATACATCTCAGTTATTCTATTCCCAGTCCCAATAACTTGCACAAGTTTTGTTTGTTTTGGCAAACAAATTTTTTTCAAATCTTACATGAAACATCAATATATCACATATGTGAAAGTAGAGCAGTGGAGAGGAACTAATAAACCCCACCCACTCATCCTGTCTCACCTCTGCAAGGGTCCCCAGAAGGCTTCATAGAATACTTTCAAATCCACAACCATACTTCCTATTGTCTTATTTCCCAACACCTATATTGTTATCTCCTCTCCATATTTATTTATTTTTATTTTTTGTAAATCTTCACCTAAGGATATTTTTTCCATTGATTTTTAAAATGTATTTTATTGATTTTTTTACAGGGAGGGAAAGGGAAAGAGAGCTAGAAACATCGATGAGAGAGAAACATCAATCACCTGCCTGCTGCACAACCCCCACTGGGGATGTGCCCGCAACCAAGGTACATGCCCTTGACCAGAATCGAACCTGGGACTCTTGAGTCTGCAGGCCGACGCTCTGCCAAACCAATTAGGGCTTTTCCATTGAGTTTTAGAGAGACTTGAAAGGAGGGACAGGGAAAAAAAGAGAAAATTTGATGTGAGAGAGACACATTGATTGATTGATTGATTGCCTCCCTCACATGCCCCATTTGGGGCAAGGGATCAAACCAACAACCCAAGTATGCCCTTGATGGGGAATCAAACCTGCAAACCTTCAGTGCATGGGGTTGACTAACTATTGAGAAAACCAGTCAGGGCTCTATATTTGTTTTAAACTTTCCTATATATAAGGTTAATAAGATCCAAAAGTGATTTTCATTTCACTGTTTCCTATATATAACTGCATTTTTACATTTGCTCATATCATCTTAATAAAGTAAATTCTCCTTAAACCCATATTGCTTTCTTCTAATAAATGGTAACAAATAACTCTGCCTACATAAAAGGAATTACTTTACTACAACAGCACTTTAGCATTTGAATTTTGGCCCTTTTATTATTTACTAGAGGCCTGGTGCACAACATTTGTGTACTGGGGGGGAGGGGAAGGTCCCTCAGTACGGCCTGTACCACTTAGCAGTCCAGGAGCCCTCGGAGGATGTCCAATTGATAGTTTAGGTGAGGAGCGGGTCTAAGCTGCAGTCAGACATCTTTAACACTGCCACAAAGAGGCTCCTGCCACTGCTGCTGCACTCACTAGTCATCAGCCCAGTTTGTGGCTGAGTGGCACTCCCCTTGTGGGAGCACACTGACCTCAAGGGGGCAGCTCCTGCATTGAGCATCTGCCTCCTGGTGGTCAGTGCGTGTCATAGCGACCAGTCATTTAGCTATTTGGTTAATTTGCATATTACCCTTTTATTATATAGGATTTATTCATTTTATATTTTATTGATTTTTACTGAGAGAAAGGGAGAAGGATAAAGAATTAAAAACATCAATTAGCTGCCTCCTACATGCCCCCTACTGGAGATTGAGATTGCAACCAAGGTAAATTCCCTTGAGCAGAATCCAATCTCTGACCCTTTAGTCCGAAGCTGACACCTTATCCACTGAGCCAAACCAGTTAGGGCTGAATTTTGGCCCTTTTAGAAAAAGAAGAGATGTCATCCTGTTTTAGATAGTTGTCAACATTCATTAAAACAAATGTTTTTTCTAATTCATATCAATTCCTTAATGATTCTCAGCAAAAAATTAGGAAAAATGAATTTTTAAGATTTATAATAAAGATGTGGTTCTATTTTAATATACTTTCACTATAAACCTCTTGCCTTTAGCTTTAAGGGAGGGAGGAGGAAAGAGAGAGTCAGAACCATAGTTAGGAGCTGAGTTCACACTATAAGAATGTAGCAGTAGTTCCATGAGCAAATGGTACAATCCAAAAGTATAGCAACATCTGGGATACCTAAAATACAGATGTAATGTTAATCCCAAATTAAAAGACATAAAACCTGAGCCATTATATTTGTGTTGGTCACAAGAGAATGGTAGTAAAAGTGGTCAGGACAAATAATATTGCTTTTATTTACTCAGTGAAAGTATTTGCTGAAACCTGACAGCTCAACAAGAAAATACAAATATTGATAGTTAAATCCAAGTTGGTATAGTTAAATCACTTTTTTGATGCAAATATTGTCGCTCAAAACATAAACAGAGATCTTTGGAAAATCAAGAAGAAAAGAGTGAAAAAAAGTAAGTGATAAAAGAAGTTACACCGTTTACATAAAACAAAGCCTTAACCAACCCAGTGCAGAAGACTACTTAGAAAAGCAATGGTAACTCACTGGCTGAGGAGCATTTGCAATGCCTTATGTAGAGGCTCTTTCAGTTCCTGGGACACTCTTTCTCCAAGATGAGCCAAGCAGTGTTCTACTGGGTTAGCAGGGCTGAACACTGGAGATGTGTGCTGGTCAAAGCCTATGTTGGTAAAGGCTAAGACAGGGCAAAAGAAAATCTAATTTAATAAGTATTATAAAAGCTCAGGGGATTAAGACAACTGCTACTAAGGATGAGCTAAGCTATAAGTCACTTATAGAAATCAGATAATTACTACAAGATATTAATCTTTCCTGGATATGTTCTATAGTTAGAGATTTTGTTTTAAGAAAAGATATTTATGGAAAATCTTAGGTTTCATAAGAAAATGACTAAACTGAAATGTTAAAATATACAAACCAATTTAGAGCATTATTATAGACCAATGTGATATAAGCATGATAAATGAGGCAACTGCTAGATCTATCATAACTCTCTTAATATTTTCCTTTAAGCTTTTGTTTTTACCTTTATAAATGTGGCACTTTTTAACAAATATATCTTTATTGATTTCAGAGAGGAGAGGGAGAGATAGAAACATCAATGATGAGAGAGAATCATTGATTGGCTGCCTCCTGCACACCCCTTACTACTAGGGATTGAGCCTACCACCCAGGCATGTGCCCTTGATCAGAATCGTACCCAGGACTCTTCAGAGCCCAAACTGGCTAGGGCAATGTGGCACTTCTTAAACCAGACTCAAATCAGTTTATTCCCCTTCAGAAAACGAGTCAATTACTTCCATTCCCTTTTTAAATTGAACTTCTTAACTCCATGAATAAATGTTAAAACTCTGAAGATTATACAAGTTGACAAATAGCACATGGAGAGTCATCATAGCCTGTTCTCCTCAGCTCAAACCACCAGCTTTTCATTTGTTTCTTAACTCAATGTCTGACTTAGCCATTCTCAAACTGCAGAAAAACAGGCAGAATCATTGTTGTTCCCAGGTACAAACAGGATTCAGGGCACAGAATCCCAGTAAAGTAAGCAGCTTACTACACCCACTCATAAGAGTTATCAATAATCTCCATAAAGTATTTATTGTATTAATCTAAGGCTTGCTCCTAGAAGGCTGTTAAGTATACTATTTCTTTATAAAGTGCATAAAAGGTAAAAATGGCTGCAAAGTTCACAAATATGTTGTTGTCTGAGCAAGCTTGAGGATGCCCATTATAATGATCAGTCTTGGTTAATACAAGAGTTCAATAAGGTGAGTGCAATTAAGCCTTTGTTGTTGTTTTTCTTCTTTTGACCTTTTCCCCATTTTACTATGTATAAGCACTGCCACCAGAAGTAAACAAAGACTTAAAATAGAATTGGAATTTTAGTCAGTTAAAAATAGTGGTTGGGATATGTGGGAGGCAGCAATGGATGTTACACTCCCATACTGATGTTCCTCTCTTCTCCCTTCTTCTCTCTCTAAAGATCAATAAACTACTCTGGAAAAAAATGTTGGTAAAGACCCTGGCCAGGTGACTCAGTTGATTGGAGCATCATCCCGTACACCAAACAGTTGCAGGTTCAACTTCTGGTCAAGGTACATACAGAAGGCAACTGAGCGATGTTTCTCTCTCTCTCTCTCTCTCTCTCTCTCTCTCTATATATATATATATATATATATATATATATATATATATTTTTTTTTTTTTTTTTTTTTTTTTTTTTTTTTTTTGCAATGCCTTATGTAGAGGCTCTTTCAGTTCCGAGATATATATATATCTCGGAGAGAAAGGAAAAGGGAGAGAGATAAAAACATCAATGATGAAAGGGAATAATTAAAAGGCTGCCTTCTGAACGCCCCACACTGGGAATCGAGCCTGCAACCCTGGCATGTGCCCTGACCAGGAATAGAACTTTGACCTGCTGGTTCACAGGTCAACGCTCAACCACTGAGCCATGGTGAACAAGCATGCGCTCACATGCTCTCGCACTCTTCCTCTCTCTAAACTTATCCTTGGATGAGGATTTTTTAAAAAATTTTTAATGTTGAATGTTGCTGAAACTGGTTTGGCTCAATGGAGAGAGGGTCGGCTTGGGGACTGAAAGGTCCCAGGTTCGATTCCAGTCAAGGACATGTACCTTGGTTGTGGGCATATCCCCAGTAGGGGATGTGCTGGTCTGTCACATCCAGGAATCCAGCTCCACCCTGGGGCTGACTGAGTGCAGGGCATGCCAGACCCCCAGCATCATAGGTTCAGATGGGCGGTGGGGGCCCCAAGGCGTGGAATTCATGAGGGTTTCCGGTCTGGCTGTGTGTCCATCCGGCCCCACGCCCATGTCCTTGGGGACTCAGGGCCAACCAGGTGACTCCCAGATGCATCTGGCTGCCCCCACACACACCAGGGCAGGGGCTGCCTTCATTGGAAGAGCTGGACAGGGCTGGACCCCAACACCCAGGCAGTCCATTGGCCATCCGGCCAGAGTCTCCTGGTTGGCCACACTTGCCACCCAGGACACTGAGGACAAAGAGGAGGAGCTGGAGAAACAGTAGGATGAATCAGGGTCTGGAGTATCTGGGGCCTGAGCTGGGTCAGGGGCTGGTCCAGTGGGGGTTCCACCAGCAGTAGCCTCAAGGGCTGGTTGTTGGCCAGGAACTCCTCTCCCAGGAGCCTGGAAGGCCACACCTCGGGTAGGACAGGCAGCAGCTAAAGTGCTGGCAGCCTCAGTGACAGCGTTGGCATGTTGTCACAGAGTGGTGCCTGTGGCCAGTCCCATCAGGAAGCCATCACCCCCACCGAGCAGACCCAGGCCATACAAGGCATTGAACCACTCGGCCAAGTCCTCCTTCATGGCTTCCACATAGGCCTCGCTCAAGTGGAATGGCCTCACTCTCTTGGCTGCCGAGCCTGTAATGCTCGCCACTGGGTCTGCCATGCCCAGGCCAGCAGAGTCACTGGCACATCCTGCAGCCTCAGGGAGCATCGCCCCGGCTGGGGCCAGAGCCGGGCCGGGCCACCACAGAGAGGCGCCGCCTGAGCCCCAGCGATCCAGTCCTGTCGCCAAAGAATATAATTTTTGAAACAATTATTGGGCAATATATATCCACACAAAAACTTGTACTAGGTCTTGGCCAGTTTGGCTTAGCTGGTTGAGCATTATCCTATGCACTGAAAAGTCGCTGCACTGAAAGGTCACTGGTTCCATTCCTGGTCAGGGTACATGCTCATATTGTGGATTCAAAATAAGCTAAATGCTCTCCTCAATAATAAAGGAATGATTGAACAGTCATTCAATACATCAAATATAATTTAGTTACCACAATGATAACAATTTTTAAAGTTTATGACATAATGTTAAGTACAAAATATATGGCTATAAAATTACATCTATATTACTATTAAAACCATATATAGCAGTGGTCACCAACCAGTGGCCCACAAAGGTATGAAAGGTTGGCGACAGCTGATCTATAGCATATATAATGCAAAACTGAAAGCAGTTTAGTCAATTTTTCCCCTTAATGCTGTTGAATGGAAAGTACCTTAACATGATTATTGAATTCACCACTTAACATCAGAAGAGGCTACATTTAAACTGTTGTGTACAGTTAGGAAAAATTTACAAACATATCCCCCAAAGAAAGAAAAATGAGTAATCACTAATTTCACCTTTATAATCCTATACCAATGAAGCTGTGTAATGTTGAGAACACTCCACTGTGAAAAAACAAATTAAACCAACAGTAAACCACATCAAACAGAATCTTCTAATTAACTAAGAAAATAAGAATAAAGAGACCTTCAGAAATTTCTTTGTCCAGAAATCTTAGCTCTTCTTCAATTTCAGTTTTAACTTTTAATAAAGCTTCTTGATCCAGAGATTGTGAAGCAACATCTTGTTGAACTCCTGAAAACAACAGAAAGATTATTATTGACAGAGGTAGGATAAGCCATTAGTATATGGGTAGTATTTTAACTATTAAGTAACAAATATATAATTAAATTATCAAAGCCAGGGGGCTAGTTGATATTTAAAAATGATAAAGGTGAAGCTTGGATAGGTTATATCACTACTATGGAGAAGTATGATTGGAACTCAGGTCAATCTGAATACAAAACTATTAATGCAGACTGTGTTCTCATCTTCTGGTTGTGTGACTAGAAAGGAGGTATCTCAGAAACACTTTTGGCATTAAAGAAAAGGAAACCTGAAAGGTTATCTAGATCAGTGTATTTTGATACTAATCTTTATGGTTCCTTATCATTACACAAACTGCAGCCCAAGAGAAAGCCTACAATCATCAAAAGATTTATATTCTCCAAACTTAAGAAAACTATAAATATTCTCATGTAGTAAAAGGGAAAAAGAGGTCTTGTTCTCTAGCACAGAATAGGGAACTAAGGGAAAGAGTTTGAAGGAAAAAATTATACCAGATACTTAACTACTTACTAATTTCTCCTGCCTCAGATATTTGTAGAACTTCATCATTTCTTCTAAAACACTGAATGCAAATATGATACTCTCTACCCCTCCTATTCAGAATATACTTATATTACATTTCCAGTTGTTCATATCATTTTTTTTTTACCACTGACAAGTTTTATAAAGAGGGGGTTTAGCTGTTTATGTTTTTATTTTTGCAGGCAAAAATATTCTAAATTCAAAGATAATTTTATTAATATAGATGAAGAAACTTGATTATTATAGCATCTATGAGACTTTAAAATACCTCTGAAAAACAAAAGGTTAAACATATCTATAACTTAGATTTTAAAGTTGACAAAAGTAATTTTCCTTTAAGCCACATAAGACACTTTCCTTTTCTTTTCTTTTTCATTTTATTGGTATCAGAGAGAAAGGGAGAGGGAGACACACAAACATCAATGTTGAGAGAGAATCGTTGATCACCTGCCTTCTGCACGCCCACACAGGATCGAGGCCACAACCTGGGTATGTGCCCCTGCCATGCTACTATTTCATCAGTTATTGGCCTATTCAAATTTTCTGATTATTCCTGACTCACTTTTGGGATGTTATATTTTTCTAGGAATATGTTTATTTCATCCACATTGTCCAGCTTCTTGGAATATAGCATGTCCTTAAAATTCTTTGCTTTCATTTCTGATTCTATTTATTTTGGTCCTCTCTGTTTCTTCATGAGTTTGGCTAATGGTTCATCAATTTTACTTATCCTTTCAATGAACCAGCTATTGATTTTATTGATTTTTTAAAAATATATTTTATTGATTTTTTACAGAGAAGAAAGGAGAGGGATAGAGTTAGAAACATCGATGAGAGACATCGATCAGCTGCCTCCTGCACACCTCCTACTGTAGATGTGCCCTCCTATGGTACATGCCCTTGACTGGAATCGAACCTAGGACCCCTAAGTCCGCAGTCTGACGCTCTATCCATTGAGCCAAACCAGTCTCGGTTTCATCAATTTTTTATAGTGTTTTTTATTGTTGTTTTTGTTTTGTTTTTTTAGTCTATGTCATTTATCTCATCTTTATTTTACTCCTTCGTTCTACTTACTCTGGGCTTTGCTTAATGTTATCTTTCTACAGCTTTAAGTTGTAGGGTTAGTTTATTGTTGCTTTTTCTTGTTTTATTATGTAGGCCTGTAGTGCCCTGAACTTACCTTGCCAGAATGATCTTGCTGTCTCAGAGATTTGACGTTAAGTGTTCATGTTAACTTTTTTCCAGTAATTTTATTTATTTATCTCATTGGTAACCAATTCATTATTTAACAACATGCTATTTAGTCTCCATGAATTTGAATGTTTTTTTGATGTGTTTACTGTAGTTGATTTCTAATTTCATTCCATTGTGATGTGAGAAGATGCTGGATATGGTTTCCATCTTCTTGAATTTGTATACTTGTTTTATGTCCTAATATGTTTTCTAACTTTGTGAATGATCCATGTACACTTGAGAAGAATGTATATTCTGCTACTTTGGGGTGAAATATTCTACAAATGTTAATTAAATCCATCTGATCCAGTGTATCCTTTAGAGTCACTGTTTCCTTCTTAAGTTTTTTTGTTTTTGTGGGGGTTTTTTTTTCTGAAAGAACTATCCAGTGAAGTCAGCAGAGTATTAAAGTTCCCTACTGTGACTGTATTGTTGTCTATCCCTTCCTTAAAGTCCTCTAAATTTTTTTTAACATATTTATGTTCTCCTATATTCGTTGCATACATGTTTACCAAAGTTATATCCTCTTGTCGAATTGATCCCTTTAGTATTATATAGTGACCTCTGTTGTCTCTGGCATGGATTTCATTTTGAAGTCTGTTTTGTCAGATATGAGTATTGCTACCCAGCTTTTCTTTTCCATTTGCATGTAAATTTTTTTCCCATCTCTTCACTCTCATCCTGTATGTGTCTTTTGTTCAGAAGTGGATCTCTTACAGACAGCATATAGCTGGGTAATGTTTTGTTTTTCTATCCATGCAGCTACCCTATATCTTTTGATTAGAGCCTCTAATCCATTTACACTTAAGGTTATTGTTGATAGCTACTTATTGCCATTTTAATTCTGTATGCCTAGGTTTCTCTCTGTTTCTAATTCTCATTACAGCAGTCCCTTTAACATTTCTTGTACTGCAGGTTTGATGGTGGTGTATTCCTTTAGCCTATTTTGTCTGGGAAACTTTATTTGACCGTCTATTTTGAATGATAGCCTTGCTGGACATAGTAATCTTGGTTTCAGATCCTTGCTTTCCATTACTTTGGGTACTTCATGGGATTACCTTCTGGCCAGTAGTTTCTGATGAGAAATCAGGTGTCAGCCTTATGGGAGTTCCTTTGTCAGTAACAACTTGCTTTTCTCTTGCTATCTTTAAGATACTTTCTTTAATTTTTGGTATTTTAATGATGATGTGTCTGGGCTTGAGCCTGTTTGGGTTCTTCTTGCTTGGGATTCTCTGTGCCTCCCAGAATTGTGTGACTTTTTCCTTTAACAAGTTAGGGAAAATTTCTGCCATTATTTCTATGAACATGTTCTTCATCCCTTTATCCCATTCTCCCACTTCTGGCACACCTGCTAATCAAATATTATGTTTCTCATTATCCCACAACTCCCTGTTGTCTTTTTTGTTTTTTAACTAGTGGCCCAATGCACAAATTCGTGCACATTGAAAGGAAATTAATTAGAAGAAATATTTTAATGTTGCAATTCACCCTTTCACTATAATAGAAGTATCAACCAAATTCACAATCAATGATAGATGGAAACACATGCATGTGATTGGGGCCAGCCTCACCTGGATAGCAAATGTCTGCATGAGAAACATGACCTCCACAGCATGAATGACTCAGCACAGAAGACCAAGGTATCTGCCTTCTGAGCTCTAACCCAGAGCCCCTGATCCTGTTTTCTGCTCACAGAGTTCCATTCCACTCTGCCCTTCCTCTGCAGGAGCACAAGGTGAGTGGCTTAACAGGGAATTTTATCTGTTGTCCCTTTAAGAGGGTGCCTGAATTTCCAGCCATCTTTCCCTGGTATAATAGATAGCAACCCCGCTGCTTTTTACAGCACGATGTTATGTGGATGCCCATCTCAGTACCTATGCTCTCCACTGGGGGGCACAACTTGGGGATTAGATCCCAGAGTTCTCAGTGGCAACACCCTGCAACTGAGAGATATCTCTCTGGAACTTCAGTTGCTGATTGTAGGGGCCTGGCCAGCCCTTTCACTCCTCCACACCTTCTACCAGTCTTTATGCAGTCTCCATTTGCAGTCCTCGGTTATCAGGGTTCTCTCCAGAGAATCTCCTGTTGATTATTCAGGAAGTTTTTCTGTATTTTGGTTGTAATTCCAAATTGGTCTTGTGAGCATGTCCATGCAGCATCCATTTAGTCTACTATTATTTTTAACCATCTATGATATGTTTTCCTTTTTGGAAGTACTTTGTCATTTTTAGATAGGTCTGCAATGCACAGATTAAAACAATATACTAGGTAAAGTGACCTCCAGAATATGTTGTAGAGAACTGGTGCAAAAAATTCTGGCACTCGAGGGGGACAGGGGAGGTCCACAGCTCGGATTGTGACAGGGCTCAGACCAGGACAAGGGACCCCCACCGTGCACAATTGAGGCAGGGGAGGGACGCAAGAGGTTGGCTAGCCAGGGAGGGACCACTGGAGGGCTCTAGGGTGTATCCAGCCTATCTTGCTCAGTCCTGATCAGCCGGACACCAGCAGCAAGCTACCCTCTGCTGGTCAGTTTACATCATAGTGACTGGTCAACTGGTCAACTATCTGGCTTTTGGTGGTCAGTGAATGTCATAGTTAGTGATTGAGCAGCCTTAGCATCATTAGCATATTATGTTTCGATTGGTTGAATCGCCAACCAAACAACCAGACACTTAGCATATTAGGCTTTTATTATATAGGATTATTAAAACAAGGCACAGATTGGTAAATTTATTTAAGATCGATTTTATTTCATTCAATAAAATTATATTTCTCCCTGCTCAGTAAAGTGGAAGAAAAGCTTTGATGTCAAGCACTTTAGCTCATCACTCCATATAACGTTGGGCAAAAAGAATAATCTTGCACCTTTTCTCTTATGTAAAATGGGGAAATAGCACTTACCACAAGGAATAAGATAAGTCTCATTACATCAAAAATGCTCAACTAATAGTAGCAGCCATTCATGAATTCTTTTTTTATATTATTATGAAAATAGTTTTGCTTGTTTTTTATTTAAAATTCTTTATTGTTTAATATCTTACATAAGTCTCCTTTTCCCTCCATTGACCTCTCCCCAACCACCTCCCGCCCCCTCACTAATTCTTTTGATTCTTTAAAATGCTGTTATTATTGCCATAGGTGGTGTGCTCAGTGGTTAAAGTGCAATTTGATTCCTAGTCAAGGGCACACGCCTGGGTTGCAGGGAA